ATGAGAAAAATGACAAGGCGCTGGGCATCATCTAACTCTACGTCGCGCAGAACCTTCGTCATCTCGTCGATGACAAGTTCTTGGCCCTGGACGCATGAACCGCAATCAAGGCCGGCTACGAGAAACCTGGAGTGGTAGGCGCATTCGTCACCTTCCAGAAGCTGTTCAATGCACAGCTCTCTGACAGCTCCGCACTTGGTCCGCAACTTGACGCGCTCACAGAACAGTCCAACCAGGTCAACGCGGCAGGAATAGAGGTCAAACCTCAGCTTCTTGCTCTGCTCATGATCAATGCTCTCTCCAAGTCGTACCAGACCATCGCTGGTACAATTCTCACCACGCAGACTGATGTTACGCTGCTCACAGCGGCGCTCATCAAGCCCAAGATCGTCGAGGAGGAACAGCGCCGTGTTGCGAACTGCACACAGATTGCGCACATCTTAAAGGCGCCTCTCCTTGACAAGAAATGTGAGAAGTGTGGTCACAAGAATCACACGACGGAGCAGCACTGGGACACAAAGCTGGCAAATTCTGGCTCGAGTTCCGGTAACGGCAACAACACGTAGCAGCAGCAGCAGGGTGGCGGAAAGCGCAAAAAGGGAAAAGGAAAGGGCAAAGCGAAGGACAATACCGCGACAACCACGCAGACTGTAAATACCATACGAATAGTCGATGTACCTGTAGTAGCTAAGATCAAGGAGGAATCCATCTCTGTTTCTCTTTATGCTATGAGAGTCAAGTCTAAGTGGATGATTGACAGCGGTTGCACAACACATGTCACACCGTACAAAACTGACTTTATTCGGTACCATGAATTCCCTAAGCCAGGTCATGCTCATACAGCCGGCAAAGGTCAGACTATCAAAATCAAAGGTCACGGTGAAATCGCTCTGCAACATCGTCTCACAGATGGACGAATTCAACATATCCGGTTAGAAACCATACTATACGTACTGGAAGTGGCAGAACGGTTCTTTGTGCCCAGAATGCCACTCAATAACGGTCACTGTATTGAGATGGATGGCAAGAAGTTTAAATTACTCCGCGGGTCAGACCCAACAAAGCAAACAGTGTTAAAGGAGGGCAAATATGAAAAGTTGTCAGGTTTATATTGGCTAGAAGCTGAAGTCCTTACAAGGACCAGTGAGATTAAGCCAGGAACATTAATGTCGGTCAAATCCAACGATCCATATACTTTGTGGCACCATCGCTTCGGACATGCCGGGAAGAAATCAGTTGTTCAACTGCCTGGCAATGTCAAAGGCGTCCTGGATAAAATCTCGGCTCCAACCAGGGATACTCCCTGTGATGGATGCAAATTTGGGAAGTCTCGTCATGATGCATTTCCTGCATCTGACAGTCGTGTGGATAATCCCCTCGACTTAATTCACATGAATCTTGTCAAATATCCGTCATTATCACTCAACGGATACAAGTTTGCCCTAACCACCCTCGACAACTATTCCTCATTTGGTTTAGTTTGGTATCTGAAATGGAAGTCTGATGCCTTCTCTGCCTTCAAGCAATTCGTCGCTTGGGCGGAAACACAGGCTGAGCAAAAGCTCAAGGCTATACGTTCGGACCATGGGGGGAAGTTTTTAGGCCGCGAATTCGACGATTTCCTAGCAGAACGTGAAATAGAGCGTCAACTCTCAGTGGCGCGAACACCACAACAGAACGGCAGAGCAGAACGCTGGCAACAGACCATACAAAATAAGGCGGAAGCCATGCGACATCACGCTGGCATGACATCTGGGTTCTAGAAGCTAGCATCGGAAACAGCAGTACACATATACAATTGACAACCTCTGCGCCATCATCAATGGAAGCCGCCCATCACTAAGTGGAACGGCACTGTTCCGGACGTATCGTACTTTTGAGTATGGGGCTGTAAAGCCTATGTCCACACACATAAGGATGCGAGGATCAATAAGCTACAGCCAAAAGCTAAAGTCATGATCTTCGTCAGGTATGAAATCAGTACAAAGGGTTACTGATTCTGGAATCCAACTGCCTGGACCATCGTTGTGTCACGCGACGTCACCTTCGATGAGTCTTCCTTCCCCAAGCGAGACGAAAGGCCTCGTGAGCCTGGAACGTCTCAAGA